CTCCAAAACTTGCTGGTACTCTTGTGAGTCCATGCGGCAGAAAACAAATGCGAGCTCCAGCTTGCTGGCGTTTGATAGCTCTCCATACGGTCGTTTTCGAGACAGACAGCTGCAAGTCTGCACGGATCTGGTTGACGCTGCTGGTGCTGTTCGAGGCTTTCCTCCAAATTTCTCGTTCATCTCTGTTGGACAACTTGCGTTGACGTCCTCGGGCACCTCCGTTGTCGTAGGCTTCAGGATCTCTGAGGTAAGAGCAAACCACGCAGTGAGTCCTGCCGATTTGGCAATCTGTCGATTGCTGAGTTCGTGGAGAGCCCGAATCTGGGCCTTTTCTTCTACAGAGAGACGGAGACCACGCGGCATCGCAAGGAAGACATGTCGTCTTGGATTTTGGTACGGATATGTACCCCGGTTGAAACAGGAAAAATTTTCCCGAGTCATCTATGAAGGGTGGACGTATATTATGAAACGGCCAAAATTTGGAAAAATAATTCTAAAAAATTTTCTTGTTGACTTTCCTGTCTGAAAAATGTTGTTAACCGTTTTCGTATATCACGAATATGACGATGTGCGCTGTTTGGACCAGTTCCTTAAGAAAATTTTTGGTTAAATGATGGGTGGACGTTTAATACTGAAACGCACTGTAGTTGGTTAATGGTTTGCGTCCCTCTTGATATATCGATGAGGCAGACTTTGGAATTTTCTTCTCTTCCATGTTTTTGAGCTTTTTATTAGGATGAACATTGACACACGGCTCTCAACTCAAATGCCATGGATGCGCCACACACGTGCCAGGCTTCACCGCGAAGGTATGTGGAAGTTCGTCTTTTTATTATGGCTCGCACTTCAATCGGTGATTGGAAGAGATATCTTCTCGATTCTGACTGCAGCCCACCCCGCTAACGACCCCGCGCCCACCGCGTGGGCCGAAAACCACCATTCCGTATGTACGTGTTTGACTTGTAACTGACGGTGTCTCTAGGTGCAAGCAGGCAGTGAAGCTTCGATTCAATGGCAACAACTTGCTCTTGCAGCGAACAAACAATGCAGTTAAATGGAGTGATCACCTCGATACTCACCGCATTTGAAAGATATCCTTGCTTTTCATGCATTGTCCTGGCTACCTTTCCTTTCATATTTTCGTTTGATGTTCCAAAAGTATTCCAAAGTGTTGCATCTGCATATCCCTTTAAGTGAGGAAGTGAAGGACCGGTTACGTCTTGCTTAGCAAGCATTTCGATATCGAAATTCCATAGCTGTAAAAAAACGTGCTTTTTGCTTTACATGACATTTGACACTTTCTCTGATGCACCCAGCTCTTGTAAACTGATCATATTGCTTCCCAATGCCTCGAAAAGTACGCTGCTTGCATTTATCAAATTGGAATTCTGCTGAAGCTCAAATGCAAATGTTGGAGTTGTGCATGCAATGACTGACGAAAGATACTGTACGTGTTGTTATCCGCCGTGCGCATGAGTATTATCGATTGATGGCAAAGTTTGGAATTTCTGGTCAAAATTTACCCTGCCCCCTACAAAATGCAGGTTGCGCAAGAGGGGAGCACGTACACAAAAAGCGGGATGATTTGGCAGGAACGAAGGCCCTAGGATAGGGCATTGGCCCCCGCCAGCACCAATGACTCCACTCACAAGCTCCAGTGCTATTTTTAATCGCCGCTATTGGAGAGGGGAGCATCATTTTCGTCCTTGTGACGGTCCCCCCCCCCCAATTTTTTATTACTGTTCACACTTCAGATATCCGCTTTCAATTACAAGCAAAAAATTCATCAGTTCAGTCTCGAACTTTACCTCACGAACCGAACTGCGAAACCGAATGGGTTGGATAAGCACAATACAGAATTGGTGGCGATGCCGACGTCGCTTGCCTCAGTTCCGTCGCTCACTTATGTATTTAACAAGAAAAAACTTACTAGCTTTTTACCATAGCTTTTGCCAAGATCCTCTATTGGCTTAAATAAGGTGATCGAGCAACACATATGTCTGTCTGAAATGTCATTTTTCTTCATCACAGTTGAGATGAGGTGGATCCGCGTGTAGTGGATGTGATAAGAACTGTGAACTGGGTGATGAACCTACCTACCTATGTCACGATAATAGCACTGGCATTCGTTTGGAAAGACTATCGTGCAATTTCTTTTGCCGGCATTCGCCATGAGAATGCACACAGCTAGGAGAACGACCAACATTTCGAACACCATGAGTTCCTAGCCGCCTCGCTTTCTTTTTATATTGGGTAACAGTGCACTTCAAGGGTTCACACATCTGCTTCGTTTGTACTGAATTCTCATCTGATTCGCCTGAAAAGCTGTTTCCCATTAGTTTAAACACTGTATTCATCATTGAGTATCGTGCATCGACAGCCCACCGTTTCTGCAGTTCGAAGGAGATTGTCAATAGAAAAAGAAATTGAAGCTGATCAAATTCTGTCACTGTCCTCTTGAGCGATCGCAAGGGCATTCAACGTGAAATTCCCAATGTTGCGCTCATGTCAGTGTTGGTGCAGGAGGTTGCTACGGGACGTGAATTTATTAGGCAATTACAGTCCGTTATGAGCTTTTCTCTTCATGTGAACAGTGTTCCAGTCATTGCTTAATTAAATTTACCTTATACTGCTTAGATGAAAATTACGTTATTTCTGAAATCTATTAGGTTGTCTCATAAATAGTGTCGCTTTTTTTCAACCAAAAAATTTTCATCTAAATCCCCATGCTTTTACATCGAGTCATATACCATTCGAAAGAGAATTGTCTGCTCTACCAAACCGACAACTATCTCTAACTTTATCTTCCCTTGGGAGAAATCAATCAATGATGTACCCTCTACTTACCATGACCTCTTCTAAACATTACACTATTAGGTTTCCCAACAAGTCGCGTCGTTCCATTTCCAGACCTGGTTTTTCAACCAGAACTCGACGGTCGAGCACCATTACCTGAGATCTAGGTCGAAATTTTTTTATAGCCGAGACATTGAAAAACTAGTAGAATTTAAAGAACAAGTCATGACTAAGTTAGGAATGTACGCCTGGTTGATTTTCTCATCTTCTCAGGATATATTTTTTTCAAAGAAATGCGGTCACTTTCGTGGGCAAAACGCTTATACCTAAACACCTAAAAGTTCGAACTACATTCCAACCAAACTATATAACACCGTTGACGACATTCGCCAATGGTTATTTTTGGATTTGCAAGATCATCGGGACAGGAGCGATTTTGCGACCGCGCCGTCCTCACCTTACTTCCGCTTATTTCTTGTTAAAAATGCACAATAACTAGAATTTCATAGGACTATTTCGACAAGGATGAACGTATAAAGGTTAACTGTATAAGTAGCAGTAGGTTTTTGTTTAGAAGAGTGCATAATGACCACGAAGAAGTAAAAAACACGCTTTCGCTGCGAATGAAATTAAAAGCATTTGTATCTAAGTATTTCCATCACATGCAAATATATTGAAACTCACAGAGTTTTGTATTAACTAATTCTACAATCTTTCATATAAATGTTAACGACAGTGAAAGGAATACCAGGAAAGAATTGAAATGAAAGTTTTGTGCGTTCGGAAAATTTTTGCTAAATCATAGGATACTTGACCACTCTGGCTGCCAGGCGGTTTATAGTTATGCTAATGTATTATCTATAGAATGAATACAAGAAACCCGAGAAGAAGGAGCGCAAGCACGATAAAAATGAATAACACAGACTTGACGCGCTTGCGCGTCAGGATGTCCGATGCGGTGCGAAATACTTGACGCGCATGCGCGTCAACTTGTCGTCAACGTGTTAAAACAAAACAAATGAGCGAATAGAGCAGAAGAAGTGCTCACAAAAGGAACACCACTCGATATGAAACAATGGCGTTTACGAGGAACAATTTTAATTTGAAAATTGCTATGGCTTATCGGTCAGCCAATTCGAAAAGAAACACGGCAAAGCTTTTTTCGGCAACCTAAGAGTGGAATGTTTAGAAGAGGTCATGAGTAAGTAGAGGGTACATCATTGATTGATTTCTCCCAGGGAAAATAAAGTTAGAGCTAGTTGTCGGTTTGGTCAATTTTTGTCGGCTGGACCTCCCATTTCGCAGGCCTAAAATTTGAAAACCCTGAACAGAGGTGGAAGAGAACATAGCATCTTGTAGAGCAGACAATTCTCTTTCGAATGGTATATGAATGTAAAAGCATGGGGATTTAGAGAAAATTTTTTTTGAAAAAAAGCGACACTACTTATGAGACAACCTAATATATGCTTTTCCGATTTTGGCACTGGACTAGTAGGGGACAACGTGGTGATTCGCTCACTTCATTAAGGTTTCCTTCCACTCAGTGACTTTCGATAATTTTTACTGCATCTATGCATTAGAGAAGAAAACTTTCATACACATGAAAAACCCTTTATCGATGAAAAACATGGAATAGTAACAGCAGTTCCACGTTATACGGTGGCAGCAGCACACAATGATGAACGCGCTCGTTAGACCACCTAAATTAAGTATCCTTGACAAACTGAATGGGCGCATCAACTTCTCGAATTGGTCCAGCCGTGTAGATGTGAAATTGTTTGCCTGAAACCTTGCAAAATGGAGTTGGAGGGAGCTGATTGTCTCAGCCTCAACGGTGTGAGGCTGAGACAATCAGCTCCCTACAACTCCATTTTCATCGTTTGAGCATATGTATTCAGTGAACAATAAGTAGAGTTCATGACCAAAGCTTCAGATTCACCATTATCTTTTGTGTATAATTCTATGGCGTCATGGTTTCATGATCTATTTGGTGAATTGCTCCACTTTATCCGAAACGAAAGGGATTTCTAGTTTCACAGTCTAGCACGTGCAGCCTTTCCAAAACTGAATGCATCGCCAGACCGTCATACGACTCTCGATTGCAGTACACAGTATAAAGATGGATTGTAGTACACATGAGGATGGAGGACTTGGAGAGGAAAAGCAGTGGTCAAAATATTGAAGGCTTGGAGTGCGGGCCGTTAAGGCAGTCCGCATGTACACCGACGAGAAACCCTTGTATTATCTTCTTCCAAAAAAACTCGGAAATAATTACTTAGAGTGTTGAAGAGGCTAGCAGAGAAGAAGCAAGTCAAATGCACCCTCCTAGCTCAGCGATAAACCGAATCTGAGTAAGCGCGATTCCTTCACCTATATTCCTTTTCCTCTTTCTCCTCAGCTCCTCGTTAGCGGATCATCTGTGCAAATGTTTCCTCGTGCTGGTGCTGGTAATTCCTTAAAGATAATAGGGCTACCGTTCTCTTGTCTAAGCACAGTGTTTTCTCCTGTTTCTTCTGGGTTCTTCAACTGCATGCGCAAATAAACAAATAAATAAACTTTTTGCAGTTGGTTTTCTCTCGTGTGGGAGTAAATTATTGCGAAGTGTATGTCATCAGGTACTCTGGTTCGTGATCGACCACATTCTCTTCTTTAGACAGCAGCGTTGAGGTCTAATCGCTATTCATGCACGTGAAGAGTGCTCTGAGAAAACCAAGCTCTTGGGTTACACTCGTCACACTTCATCCTTAGTCCAGCTTCTTTTCTTTCTCTTCTCTCTCGCTTTTCCTCTTATTCTTCGTGCTAAGTCGCCCATGAGTTGTCCTCGAGTCACGATGTAGTGAAAGACCTGCACAATGCACCGTAATTGCTCGTCGACTGATACAACCCGTCTTTCCTTTTCCGTCGACTCCCTTTGATTGTGTGGGCAACCACACCGGTGCTTTATTTAACTTCTCCTTACCTGTAACGATATTGAGCCCTATTTGCGGAAATGGACAACTTTGGCAATAGGCTCGCACACTTCCATTCACTTCCAGCCACTCCTCATTGTGTCATGTCACTCTGTCCATTTCGCATTGAGCTTTGCAGACTTCTGCATAAATATTCGCTCAAATCTGAGTACTGACATAGTATGGAGGGCACTTGCTCACAGCGTCGCTGGTCATCGAATGCACTGACAGTGTGAAGTCGAGATACATTTTGATGTCTTATAGTCCATCCTTTTTTGAATAGGGATAAACCCATTTCAGCACATAGATAGCCACACTC